CTCCACCCCCCCTCACCAAATACTATTTCCCCTCCTGGACTTCAGCCTGAATTCCTTTGCTTGCTATCTTAACTACACATAGAGTTTGATAAACTCGTACCGGAAGCAGCAACTCGAGGTCGATAGACTTTAATGCAAAGGATTTACGATGAAAACTCTAGTTTTTCGCTATGTAAATACGTTAACCTTCATTTTTTTTAATGAATAAATAAAGATTCGAATATCTATATTGTGTCACAGATGGGGTACTTCAATGTGCTTTGATGTTGAGACGCGAGAAAACTTCTATTGTCTGAGGCGATCTTAGCATGATTCTCTTTCTCCATCAATGGCTACGATTATGAAGTTTTAAGGAAAAACTTGTTTAGAGTAGCGTGCTCACTAAAGAAAAATTCTCGGTTAATGGTGATGATTAACCGAAGATATAGGTCACTTGTCGATGATTCCCATCACCTATCATGTAGATATTACCTAAAGAATACTTCTAAAATCAGGCAAACTAAAACTGTTTGATATGGAGTTGTAATTGGTGATAGAAGCAGCGCTGAACTATCGAATAAAGAATCTAACCTTATCAGATTTGTTCTCTATATTGTGATATTCTTATCTGAAGAAAAAGTCTATGTTAACCTTCTAGCTCCCCTGTACAAAACTTACATCGGTTTCCAAACGTTTATTGAGTCGAATATGTCTTAATTCATTTAATTTAACTTTCTCTAGTTTTTGTTGCCATTCAATCATTTTTTGTACACGTGCATTACTTTGTCCATCTTTAAGTGTAGCTAAAAGTTCTTCAAGTGATTTATGTTTAAATTCATATGATGCTATTTGTGTTTCAAGATCAAATTTTTGATCGGCTAATTTTTTCATATCAAGATCTAATTGTTTTTTACCATTACGTAAATCAATCATTGTTTTAGCATATGATTCTTGTACACGTAATGGTAATGCACCTGCATATTTATGGCGATAATCCTAAATAAAATTATATATAAAATTATATTTTTTTTTCTTCATATGAAATTTAAGTAAATTTTACTTGTAAAGCTGTTCTTAAATATCGTATACGTTGTGTATATTCTTGACGAATAAAAAATAGACTTTGTTCTTTTTCATCTAATTTTTGTTCAGCTCGAAGAAGTAATGCTTTTTGTTTAGCTAAATCATTATCTGCTTGTAATTGTTTTCGTTTAGCAGTTGCTTCACTTATTTGTAAAGCAAGAATATGACGATGAAGTTTACCTATAGATAAAACATAAGATTTTTCTTTCCAAACGAGAGATTTTCTCCAAGTGATTAATTCATTTTGAGATTTGTCTCATCTCAGTAGTTAAATCCTATTGAGACTAAAGAACGTTTAAAAAACTTCATGTTCATGGATCAGAACATTATATAAATAAAACTTATCCAGATGCAATCATTCTTTCGCATAAAAATAATTCCAGCTGAGTCATAATTATCTGAATTCGAATTAGCGGATCCATCCAAATGCCTAAAAAGTTCTAATCAAATTCTATCGAATTCTGATCAAATCCAATAGAGAGATGGTTCGTTCTGAGAAGATTAATTTTTTCACATAGTAGAATTTTCATCATATGTATCTAAGAATAGGAACTACTAATAGAAAATATGATACTTTCACAGTAAACCAATTCCATTGAAAATTTTATATGTATAGTGTTTAAATTTAAAAGTTGACATTGAAGATGGTCAATAACATTCTGTTGGAAAAATCAATACAATGGTTATCATTGAAAAAGAAAACTCTGTAAGTAAGAATTCTTTCAGACGTGTCCTTGTCTCAGTAGAACTTATCTAATTCAGTAAAATTTATCTCAAAATATATTGAACGCTTAAAGTGTTATCTTCACTAGAGATTTTATTTTACCAATTTCGCTTTTATCATCTGATTTTGATTGTAAATCAAGTAATTGAAGACGTAATGATTGAAATTCTTTTTCATCTAATACTTTCATATCATTAATAGCTCCAACTTGATAAGTTGCTACTTCAGATATTTCGCGTAAACGTCCTATTTCTTGTTTAGCTTGAATTTCAGAACCTTCCAGTTCAGATATACGTCTATAAAAATATAAATTGTTAAGAAAAGAAAAAAAACTTTTTTTTTTTTTAAATAAAGCATACCGTTTGTCAGCATCGGATACTGTTCGTGGTACACTATGTGCAAGTTCATCACGTAATTCACGTTCAGCTCGTTGCATTTCGAGATTCATTCGAGTTAATTCACTAAATTTGTGTTCTAATTCAAGATTTCGATCTTCCATTTGTCGAAGTGTTACACGTTGTTGATCATAAAGTTTTTGTGCATATTCAGCACGTTGTCGTTCATTAAGTTCTTTCATTTCAAGAACAGTTATTTTACGTGAAAGACTTCCAGGATTGTCATCATCAAGTGAACCAGTAGTACTGGTTCGAAGCATTGTCGTAGCATAACCTCAAAATAAACATTTTTAGAAAATAATTTTTTTTTAATAAGAATCTTTTATGAAACACGATCTAAAAAATAGTGTCAAAGTATAAAGGGTAGAAATTTGTATCAAACCTCTCACAGACATTATCATGGAAAAGTCGCAGACCTTACCAGATGGAATCG